ATGTCCAACTATCTTTCTCACATATATATATATATATATATATATATATATATATATATATATATATATATATATATAACATAGTATGAAAAATATAGATAAATGGGCATTTAAATATGCACCGTGATTTCTAGAGAGAATCGGATTGAACTTAGAATGAGTAGTGGGAACACTCACAGGAACTTATCTATTGGATAAGTAGTGGTTATCAACATAATAGATACAAAAATGATAGGTGAACCTATCTTCCATAACGTATCTATACCTAATCTTACACAGTCGAATATATATATATATATATATATAATGAAAAACAGACCACTTTAAGAAATGGTACCTTAAAGTGGTCTATTTTTCATAAAATATTAGCTCTGTATTCACATTGAGCTCTCAGGATTTCATCCTCCTTGGAATTACCCATTCGGTTTATCAAGTTCTTCATAACTTATATATATATATATATATATATATATATATATATAAAATCTTAAAACTTTGCTAGTACAAACACTCCCGCTCACACATGCATTGTCCTAATTCAAATACATACTCAATGAAAGCTCACTCGTTGCATTTGAAATGATGCATTATTGATAGCCTTCAATTAGAAAACCGATGCATTTACGGATATTTGCGAACCCATCACCACCTGCACTTAAAATAGATAAAGCAAGGATGCACGCATATCACGATTTCATCATTTCTTTCCTCATCGACATTAATCTGCATAGGCATGTAAGACATGAATCTGATCTTGTTTTAAACTGCATTATAATACTTTTTCTAGGCTAAGAGATTTCAAAGATTTCCTTCAATCTGTCAGAAAGTGATTACATCCTGTCTATCTGCATATCACTCTCTACCTGTGCACCGACATATATATATATATATATATATATATATATATATATATATATATATATAACGATCTATCTCTTTATCTGTGTATATCTATCTTTTCATCTATATATCTCTATATATCAATATTTATATCTATATATCTGTAGATATCGATATGTACATCTATATATGTATATGTATATCTTTCTATCTACCTACCTATCTATCTATCTATCTATCTATCTATCTATCTATCTATATATATATATATATATATATATCACTATCCGAATTTCTATATATCTATATCTTTATATATCTATATATATTTATTATATCTTTATACCTATGTTTGTGTTTTGTGAGTAGATTTTTTCATTGAGCTTGTTGTGCAATCCACTCAGAAATATGTTAACTATTGATTTAAATATCTATCTATCTATCTATCTATCTATCTATCTATCTATCTATCTATCTCAATCTGTACATATACACACACACACACACACACACACACACATATATATATATATATATATATATATATATATTTCACTCGATAAAATATCAATAATACATCTGCGGCAACAACACCTATTGCAGCCAAATGAAACTTTTTGCTATTCCTAACTACCTGCGATTTCTATCTATCAGTTTAACTTGCTTTTAAAGTCCATACGTCTCAACCAACTTGCTTTTCCGCCAATTCATCTCATTCAACCAATCCAGTTGACGTTAGTAGATTCAGTAGAAAAATTATCAAATCTTTCACCGTGATATTTGATGAGAATCTTCGTTAATCAATATTACTAAAGAGCCTCATTTACGCACAGGTTTGTATCCTTCCATATTTTTATCTCCACATTTATCATATATATAAATGTAGCCTTTTAAAATGAATTTTTATACGGGCATTTTATTATTTATAAAATGATTAACATGGATACAATTCTACATTTAACTGCATAATAATATATTACATCAGTAGAAAGAGCCTTTGTGAATTACATGCCACTCATTCCGCATATCTTGTTGCTTTTCGGTCTGTAAATTCATAGAGCTTATCGTCTCATCTGCTGTTTTCTACAGCTGCCTCTACAATCCATTCGACTCGAATGAACAAAATGTTTACTACGACTCTTCTAAATTATTCTTCATATATATTCTGTTTATCTCCATTTTATGTTGCATAATCTTTACTAGGATATTTATTAACTTGGCTTGTTGTATAATCGATGCATATATCTTTCCGTATCAGCGTTATCCCTAGCGTTGCACTTTTCATTTTTCACTCTGTGTTTTCGAGATTGCACGCGACTTTATGCCGCACCTGTACATAATATGTGCCATTTTACATTCCGTCAACTGCTGAAATGAAAACTTATGTTATGCGAAATGTTTCGTTTTCTTAGGGACTTTATCAATACTAATGTTAGGTTTTTCTTTTGTAACACGTAATTATACACACCCCGTCAAAATCTTAAGACCAGATACAAATGTGTTAAAAACATATAAAATACTGTTAATTTAAACAAAATATATTTGCGAAAGATTTACATTTAATTAGGAAATGTACTTTATCAACAAACAAGTGAAAATTTTTAGATTTTAATTGATTAATTTAAACAAAGTTTGAAAAAAGGATTTTTTGGTTGATCATAAAAATAATGCCATGTAAACAAAAATAGCAAATACGGAACATGTAAGTCACAACGACAATTTAATTCTCAGTATATGCTTCATTTTTGCGAATTACTTCGAAAATCGCTTTCATTATTAACTTCTACCTGGGGATGCATGGGATGCTCATCAGGGTGCCAAACAAATGAAACACGATGATATGGTCTTATCTTTATGACCAACCAAAAAAGCTTTTTTCAATGTTTGTTTAAATTAATCAATTAAAAGCTTAAAATTTTCTTTTGTTTGTTGATATTAAGTACATATTCTTATTAAATTTATGTTTCGCAAATATATTTTGTTTAAATTAACAGTATTTTATATTTTTAACCCTTTTTTTATCTAGTCTTAAGAGTTTTGACCAGGAGTGTATACAAGAGCAAAAATGTTAGTGGTTTATCAAAATATTTTAAATCTAAGAAAGCTCATTAATATTCCTCAGCTTAGCCGAAAAGTCTACGCAAGCTATGGACCACGCCAAGTGACACAATTCAATGTGTAATGAACAATAGTGCGTAAACGATATTCTTGATTTTTTTATGTGAATTAGTATATAAATCATTTTACTTCGGAATTAATTTATGCATTACATCTTTTAAATAACAGGGTTTTATAAACGTAACCTTTTCCCTTCAATTTTTCAACTTGGGAAATTAATAATTCTTTCAGTAATGGTGATATTTGAAACAATCCTTCTTTAATAAATGTGGCAATTTTGGATCAAAGATGTGGTTGATTTTGTTTTGATTTATATCTAATGCATTTGATAAATTGTTATGTATGAGATTTCTTTCGTGTAGAGAGATATGTTTTTATTTTAAACTTTGCAAGTTTCTCTAACGTATTGTGAGGAGAATTCATGGCAATTTATTTTATCTATACCTGATTCAAAATGATTATATGTATTATTACTTTAAATTCTGATCATATTTATAATTGTTTTGGATAGGATTGTAATTGTTTTGATTTGTTTAGATTCAATGAATATTTTGGAAAGTGGGTACTTTCGATTTAGAAAGTAGTATCATGTATCTGTTTTTATCTATTTTATAGCCATTGTTACTAATAATGTTGTTATCTATATTTCGATTGTTTATTTTGCATTCCTTTCTCTTAGAATTGTGGATATTGCCTTTTGTTAGGTAATTGGAGGTTTTTGAAAGTGTTTCTATACATATTTCGATTTTGGGTAAGTATTTCTGGGTGTGCACATTTTTTGTGCTCTTAATGAGAATCCTCTAATTATTCCAGATTACATTGGTGGTAATAAGAATTAATGATGTCTTTCCTGTTTGTAGATTTTCTCTAAACCGCAAACTGAATTTCGGTATTCTTTCTATGTAAAATGATATACAGGAATGGTAGAATGTTGTTGGATTCGAAGGTAAACTATATCTTGGGTTTGTCTGAAATGAGCAAGGAAGAAACGAAGGGAGTGGAAAGCACATTAATTATATGATGCATTCTAGAACTAAGCATATTATTATGGAATAGTAAAATATCGTGAGAAATAACTGCTCAATATAAGAGTAAGGTGCTAATTATTATTAAAATATTAGTAAAAACATTCAATACTTATCGAATTTTTATTCGACAGTATTTCTTAATACTCTCAACTTAATTTTAATGGATACTGCTGCTTTTTTATTCTTTTGCAGCGTGAGTTTATTCACAGAGTGAATTACATATACCAGTTTGCACATTTGTTGGACTTACAAGAATTTGGATTATTTGCAGCGTTCGAATATTTTTCCCTACATATTATAAACTACTATTTGGTCCAGTGTGCATTAGAGCGCTTCAAGAGAAACCAGATTTGAATCATGTGACAGGGCATATTTAAATTTTAAGTTTATTGAATGCACAAATCGCGAGACGGTTTAAAATTTCGTCTACACAAGTGTGTGCATCCACTATTATACATATATATATATATATATATATATATATATATATATATATATATATATATAATGAAACTAATTTTATCCGAATTACAATGATTTTGAATCGTTAAAAGTTATAACAATTTTATGTATAAATATTCAATCAAGATTTATAAGAGCTCGTATGATTATATTACTCCTTACTCTTTAACACTTTTCTGAATATATCTTATCTATAGGATTCTTTCAAATATTCTTAGAGACATGGATTGCAAAACTCATATCTTCATTTAAACAGTACGAAAATCCTTACTGGCATCAGGTAAGTTGAAATACATTCATAGAAAACGAATATTACAGAATTATCTTTAATTTTCTCAATTTCTTTATGAAAACGGAACAGAGTCTGTTCTTCCAAATGAGACATCAAATTCTATATATGCTCCATCGACTGTCATATTTTATCTTGCTACCATCTGTCGCGCCACATCGGATTAACTTTAAAATTCATATATAGTTTTGCCCATTTCAAAAGGCCATGACATTGTTCTAGACGCTCATATGCATGAAGTTAACGATTTAGAAAACTAAAGACTAAAAGGAGAAAAATGCGAAAGAGAGAGTGAGAGGTAGAAAAACGAGAGAGAGATGTAGAAAAGAGAGAGATAGAACGGAGAAAAACGAGAGAGAGGGAGAGAGATAAAGGGAGACAAAAGTGATAGAGGTGGAGGGAGAAAACGAGAGTGGGTAAGATAGGGAGATAACACGGGTGTGAGAGGGAGAAAAAAGAGAGAAATAGAAGGGAGAAATGAGAAAGAGATAGAAGGAGAAAAGCGACAGAGAGAGAGAGAGAGATGGTGGAACCTCAACAAGTAGATAGATAGAGGGAGAAAATCGGTAGAAATATGGGAATAAAAATGAGAGAGATAGGAAGATGGAGAAATCAGAGGGTGACTTAGATAGAAGAAGAAGTCCAGAAGTGAAAGTGGTAGGGGAAGAAAGCAGTATGGGAGAGAGAATGAGAGAGAGAGAGAGAGAGTGTGTGTGTGTGTGTGAGAGAGAGAGAAAGAGAGTGAGAGATAAAATAGCGAGAAAGTGTAAGAGAAACAAGAGAGGGAGAAATACGAAGTAGGTAGATAGAGTGAGAGTGATAGAGGGAGAAAAATGAGAGATTAAGGGGAAGAGAGAGAAAGAAAACAGGAGAAAACGAGATAGAGAGAGAGGGGGAAGATTGAGAGATAGAAAACCAGGAAGAAAACTCGAGACAGAGGGATTAAAACGGGGGAGAAATCGAGAGAAAGGTAAGGGCAGAAAAACGTGAGAGACAAAGAGATCGATGGAGAAAACCGAGAGATCTTTTGAGAGAAACATAAGAAAGAGACTGAGAGAAAGAGAGAGAGGTAGAGCAAGAGAGATAGAGAGACTGATGAAGAGATAGAGGGCGACGCAGCGAGAGATAGAGAAAGCGATAGACATAGAGAAAGAGGGAGAGAGAGAAACGAGAATTGGAGAAAAGCAAGAGAGAGACTGGGAAAACATGCCTATTCGTTGCTCGTAAACATCTATTTATTAAGCACGTGATCAAAGCCATTAAGCACTTTCAAGATGACTTCTCTTCAGAGTATGGACGTCTGCTTTAAATATTCTTAAGTAGAAATCGATGAACTACTACGGCGACAGCAGCGCGCCGATTTGAATTCAGATTGCAAAAATAAAAGAACCACACAATTAGAGTGTCAGTTTTGCATTCAAATTATAGAGAGAAAGTCGAAGTTGAACATCAGAAAATAAATAAAATAATGGCTATGATTAATACTTAATAGTGAGAGATTTTTTCACATTATGTTACAGTGACATAAGAGTTCATATTTTGTAGCTCCTATTTGTGCTGAACGAGTTAAGAAACAGAATATAACACTTGTGTACACGAAAGAAATAATTTTTGCTTTAGTTAAAAAAAAAGATCGACATTAAAACTGAGCGTTATTTATTTCGCACGGTCATTTTTTTTATTATGAAATTTAGCCGGATTTTACAAAACCAAATAATATCGATTATGTAACATAAAATTATTATTCTTGCGTTATTTTTAATTTTTACAGTGAGTTTCATCCTGTACAAGGCACAGGGAACCACTCGAGTTAGCGAATGACATTAAGAAATAGGCAAAAATGAATTGGTCAGCGTAACATCTTCTTGTCAGTCGGTTTGACAGTGCAGTGATGATCACCAGCGGAATACGGAGGCAATGCGGGTAATTTGCTACAATATAAATGGCACAGAGGATCCTTGCTATGAAGGTTACAACTGGCGGAACCAAAGAATGTAGTTCGGCTGAAGACTTTCCATGGAAATGACAATAAATCTGTGAAAAGCTTTCCATGTCCTCCTTGTGAGAGAGACATTGAAGGGTGAAAAATAATTTGTCATCCACAAGGAATCTGAAATGATTTTGAACTCTATCGAGAATGGTAAGTGAGAACTAGTCAGCTCCCGTCCAAATATGATAACAGTACTCCATTCTCGGCCTGACATGTTTTTTGTAAAGGTAGATAATAACATGAGGAGTCAGGTAATTACATGGGATATACAAGGAGCTGACCATATTTTCTGCATATTTAGCAAGGCACGGAGCCTCCCCGAGTGAAAAACCGTTCATCATGACTGGCATATCAAGCGCGGGTTTCGATCTGTGATGATGGAATGTAACTGGTTTGTTTATCAAGACAGTGAATGTAACCAGGCAGTCTTTCTCGCACTGATTGGATGATAGATCAGCTGGGCATCAAAAGTTTTAGAGTTGCACACGCATATCGACATTATTATATGTTTACAAATGATACGGGACAATTCTTTGGCAGACCTTTTTCGTAAATTAAAAGAGAGTTTGTATCCGAGTAGTGGCTCCTTGTGTATGCCAATGTTAACCCCCAGGGCTCGAGAGGATTTGCCGTTAATAACTACTTTCAGGGAGATGTTAGGAAAGATAAAGAAGATATTTCCTGTGATTTCATAGCGAGAGAGCATGCGTAGCAAACCTTTGCGCCACACCTTGTTAAATGCCTTCCAAATATCTAACGCTATGTTTTTCGAAGTGAGTTTGTCCTGACTAATACTGTAAGTAATAATAATTAATACATTAGCTGCGAATCGAGAAGATCGAAACCCGTATTATCTGCGCTGAAGCTTTTATACTTGTCTAGGTGTTCGACGACCTTCTTTTTTATTATAAACTGAAAAGCCTTGTTGCTGATACTGAGGAGACTCTTGTGTCTATATTGAAAGGGAGAGATTGCTTGCTTGCGTCCTGGAAGGCTGTGTATACACTTGACACATACCACCGCCTTTTAAGCAGTGGTTAAATAACCTCGTTAGGATCTAGCATAATTCCGGATTAACAAACTTAAGGCAACCATTGGAATTTTTTTAGCTCACTGGCTTTCTTAGATATGCCATGATAATTCTCTGACTGTAATGAAAATATTACTGAGACTGTGCTTAGTGAGATGTGGGAAGATGTGGAGGGAGTGCTCTTTTTATTTAACGTCAATTTTGAGGCAATGAACGACGCGAATAACCTTGTCTGTCAAAGGAGATATAGCCTTGGAACGTTTTATTAGTGAGCACAGCCGCTGTTATTATGTTCATAATTTGGTTGCCGATCTTCCAGAAATCAAGAGATTCATTTTCTTTTTCAACATTGGGCTAGACAGCTTGCGCATAGCTACACTTTGCATTTACCATAACATTCTTGCAACGATGGAGAACGGTTCTGAATGCAGTGAGATTCAAAATGCACCTCTCGTTGCGATAGATATTGAACAAGTGCTTCCACTGTGCTATGAGAGCAACATATTCACGGGTGAACAGGAGCTGACTTTTTAGAAAAAAAATGTAGACATTTACTTGGGAATAGTCTGACGTGCCTAGAAGGTGTTATTAACAAATATATCACATTATTAAAAACAAGCACTACAAAATAAAGACTACATGTTAAATTGATTTGGGGAATATTTCGTCGGCTTGTACTTTTATTTGTTCGCAACATTATGAATTGGGTATTATCTAGAAGTGTTCAAACAGAAAACTCGAGTCATTTCCTCACTTCCAGACTTTCATATGAATATCATGCATGGCGCCGAACTTGCTAAAAAATATCTAAACTGCCAGCTGTATGCAACCGCTTCCTATGATCAGTGGTAAAAAAAAGCCTCCGAGCGGGTAAAACTTGCAGGTCGTATCTAAAATGATCCATCTTTGAAAACTGTGACCTGCGCTACAAACAAAAACTGTACCAAATAACAGAAATCACACGACTTAATGACTTTCAAAAACGATAACAAATAAAATTGATAGCTCATATCACTCGAAGAGAAAATAATGACATAATCAGCCTGTTAACATTCCACATAAGTTCAAATAGAAGGTTTGGAAGAAAAACCCCATCAATGCTGGAAAGTGAGGTAAAACTTAGATGTTTTCCAAAAAAAGTGTTGTAAGAAAAAAGATATTAAAAAACTCTTTTGATTCTAACTAGGCTGCAAAGTGTCGAGTAAGCAATTACAGCACATATCAGATATATTCCAGCAATATATCATTTTTAGTTGAATCTGACACTTGTAATGTTAAAACGTAGTAGCAGGAGCAAAGAACTTCCTACAAAATGATAAATTAGCCTACCATGTTCTTAACAGGTGAATTATAAGCAATGAAGTTACAAAGAAACTCTTTAGAATATTTCTCGCAATGAACCATATTACACACATAATATCTGACTCTGTATTTACATCAAAATTGAAAATAGCTGAAGAGCAAAAATAAAATAGAATTTAAAAACATTACTTAAGAATTAATAAAAGACAATATGAAATCTCCAGGATTAGATCATACTAATTATATTAATCTTCGTCGCATTTTCATACTGAAAAGTAAAATGATGCATCAATTTTCAACATATATTTGCGTGTGAATAGTTTGATTTGGAGTCTTGTATAGTTAAACACACAAATAATCAATACATTCGGGAAATCTTTGATGACCATTTAGATGTTACTTTTGTTACCATTTGTAAATCTTTTCGAAATATTTCTTATTTTCATGGTAATCACATATCTCAAGATTCATATGTAAATGGTTCAAGATATGTATTGTGTCCGTTTTGTGCATAACGGCGAAGGTAAATATATAACTTCGTAAATAATTATTAGCTAAATATTGACACACAACTGGAAATCATTGTCGTCTATCTAATTAATGAATCGATATTTTAAGTTCATGATAAAAGAAGGAATTGACATTAAAAATCAAGTTGTTCTTATAAAATATATGTTACTTTCATTGTTAAGATACAGAAATTGTTGATAGAATCTATGGATTAAAAAAAAAGTAATCTGGTAAATATGATCTTGCTACACATTACATAAAGTAGAGTAATGTAGGGGAAAAAATGAAACGAAAGTCAATGAAGAAGGCTGGAAAAGAAAATCTAGCGAAAAAGTATGATAGAGGATACAAATGTGCAATATGGAGGGTTTAAGGAAAATGCAAACGCAAAGGACAATTTTCCTTAGAGTTAGAAAAGTATAATTCAAATTTCTGATTAATAACAGGTTAGAAATACATGGAGAATATGGTACTCATAGTAAATATTGAGAGGAAGAGAGAAAAATCAAATAACGTACCTAACGAACTTTTGTGAATAGATGACACAATATAAAGCTTCAGAGATTATCAGGGAACAAATAGTGGTTAAATCTAAAATGGATTGGAAATGGTAGAGTATTATGATCATACACGCCATGAAGAGAGATGGTACATAAAACAAGAATGAAAATCTGAATCGGCGAAACGTAACCGAATTTTAATTTGATCTAATTATATTCTTTCGCTAAAGCATTATAGATCCCTTATAATTAGAGATGATTGCCGGGGAAACAGTAGATAGATAACTATTGCCGATATCTTTAACTGTCCCGGGTGTAAAAATTAAAGAGGACATTTATAGTGAAACGGAGATGAATGTACTAACTCCAAAACATCTCATATATGGAGATGCTGGCTGGCTGCTCGTATCCTAGTATGCTTCTCGAGTAGGGCAGTTAGCTAAGCCATTTTACAGACACCTGCTCAGGCAAATTTGTGCTTGTCCAACGCCCAAAGACCCGACATGTCGTTTATACTGCTAATATACTGAGCGGACATTACATTTCTTACAGTTTGTGGCAGAGACTGAATCATCCTACATATGTTCAACAATGTCAATAGGCTTAAACTGTCGGAGACAATTACTTGTGATTTGTATATATGAAAAGAATAATAGTTGATAAAAATACAAAGCAAAACTACCTGCACATTTTAAAACTTACTGTGATCAAACAACAAATCAGAAAAATTCAAATCAGAACAGGGTCTTTTATTTCGCCTGAAACTTATAACTGTATACATATTAGTCTCTATTATATATATATATATATATATATATATATATATATATATATATATATATATTATCAGACATTATATTAAAAGCATTTTGAAAT